GGTTTGCCTCATAGGGTTATCTTTCTTTGGATGACCCTATTTGAAATTTATAACCATGGTTGGAAACCAATCAAACCAAATGGTAGAAATTATAATGCAAAATTTATTATACTACTAGTCGTGTACCCGCGCAATGCGGCGGAAGCCATGAAATTTAATGATTTTGAAGTTTCACTGGGCCCAACGGGTATTTTGTTTCGGAGCTGGAAGCAAAAAACAGAAACACAAACCTAAAGGAAGCAAAAACAGAAACACAGACCTAAAGGAAGCAAAAATAGAAACACAGACCAATATAACTTTTTATCTGTTTGCCATTTTCCACTTAAGAAATTAAAAATCAAATTAAAAGAGTTGTGAGAACTGTTTCCTGCTACCAATGCCAAATAGAGTGGCTAAAATTGAAAAAGACAAAGAAAAGAATAAAGTATGAATCATGATTGAGAGTTTAAGTTTTAAACACCAAAACTACGTTATATTACACAAATACAACTCTACAGGTTAATATTAAGATTAATTTGATGCGTTACACAAATACACCTCTGGAAATGATAATTGGTAATACAATATTCTTGAAGGAAATGGTAGTTAGAAGAAGGGTTGTGGTGAAGGGCATTCTATGGCAACTCTCAACAGCAACTTTATTCGCATCTTCAACCTCCTCCATATCTCCCCTGAAAATTATATATTAAAATTCCTAAAAAAAACCAAGAAACTTGAGTAAGATAAACACTCAAAACCAATAAAAAAAACTCGAGTAAACACTTATCAAGTGACGTTATCTTACCAGATGAATATGGTAAGGATTAATCACATTCCTCAATGACTTGAGCAAATAGATCATTCTACATCAGAACGGAAACAACATAAAAATTACATTTCCCCAAAATCTTGTTTGGACGGCAAAAAAAAACATCTCCTAGTCGAAAAGGGGTCTATATCAGTATATCTAATGTCACTCAATCCGTTTGAATAAGCACAAGTTATTCACACCAAAACACCATGTAGAGTATAAACTAAAATTGATTGTGTCGTGTGTTTCATGGTGGGTGGTAGATTTAGGAGATCACTATTTAACAATAACAAATACAACATATTTCTAAAACTTGACACAGCAATGCGGGGGAGCAGTAAATGTAACCGATTTCGAAGCTTTAGCGGTTTTGTTATTTTAAGGATGACATATTTACACTTGCAAGATATTTAACCAAATTTTTACTCAATAAGTGCTTACCGGTAATTCTCAAGTTCTAGCAACTTAAGATATTACTTCTTTTGATCAAACTCATAAAAATGGTAAGTAAGTGCAAAGATAAAAAAAAAACCACATAACAGATAATAACAATAAAAAACCATCCATCAAGAAGAGAAAAAAAAAAAAAAACATAACTGATCCATGAAAGACCCCCAACTTGTGTACATTGGAAAATAGAATATGGAGAGCATGTAAGGCAAGGCAAAACAGAACGCACATCCCATCATCCCTCGCTCCATCGATTGAAACTGCAAGTCCTTTATCCCCCTCCTTCCAACCCCGTTCTGCCCATCCATGGTGGCTACGTACCGTACCCCCCACACCCAATCTACTACCCTAGTCTTTTATCTCAAGTGCACCAGGTATGTCCTAGAAAACGTTTAAGGCAACTATATCCAACCTCTTCAACTGACACACTTTCTAGTCTCCTCACGGGTGTCGTCATCGCCTCCTACAAACATGCGCAAACAATCACAGTCTCCTCGCTCTCAATAATGATAAAAACTTAAAAGTTAACAGAACATGACAATGGTTTATTACCTACCAAATGGAGGTTTTATATTCTAGTTGCAACTTATAAACATATTGTCACAATCTGAAAAACCAAACTGCCACTTGCAAATTACAATCAACGTATTGACAACTTAATATTACCTTCATACGAATGGAAAGTGCATAATTATAAAGATGCGTGCTCTTATTATCAAGAATAGAATAATGATATGCCTTGAATAAAAAAACCCAACCTGGAGAAAGCCATACAACTCATTAACTCAGAATCCATTCGAAATCATAAACTGGATGCCATAATCCATCGACGATTTTGATGAAAAAACAAGATACAAAGCTTGGTATATTGGGAGTAGAAGAGAATGCATTTCTCGGGGAGCAAAAATAACATTAAGAACATGCCAACCTCAATACAGACAACCTATTAAAAGATGTTAAGGGATCAGTGAATTGGTTCTTTTGAAGAGATAAATTAGTGAGAACTTGAAATTGATTTAGAACTCTGGATATGGGAAAACCTGGCATGAAAACAAAAGAAAGCAGATGATAAGTATGTTGCTAAGTGATAGACAGATTTTAACCACTCACCAACAAAGGTGAATGATATTTGGAGTTCTTGAGGTGTTATGGTTTTCGAAAAAGTATGTTGCTAAGTGCTAGACAGATTATTGTTGTAGCAAGACTGCAAGAGGTAGGCTACATTCACAACAGCAGCTGATACAAGACAGGAAGAGTTTTTTAACTTTTAAGTTAATATTGGTTTAATAAAAAATGCACGAGTTAACGGAGTGTAATCAGATGTAAGTACAAATAATCAGATAAAAACGACAAGTGTTTAGACCTTATTACAAGAAGGCAGATATTGTTGATTAAGTGGTAGTATTATCATCTGCTGCTGAATTCTTACTTTTATACGGTATGTTTTCTAATGCAAGTAGGCAGATATTTTACTGACCAAAGGGGTGATCTTTTATATCAAATTTATAATCCTTAAGTCTTACCGTAACCGTAATCAGATTCAAAGAACTTGTATATGCAAGGCAATACAATAGAGATTAACAGATCGATATAAACTAATATGATCTACGATTATTAAATAATAGCCATCGGTGAAATGTTACTGTACCTTCTTGAACCTCTTCTCCTGCTGCACGTTCACCAAAAACCTGAGAGAATTTCCACTCCAAGCCACCTGTATGTATTAAAGATATTGGTGTAGATTCTGATTCAACTTTGTTGGTAGTTCCCCCTTGTATCCTAAACCCCATGCACAAGAAGGTAATCTCAATAATAAGCAAATAAAGAACATAACGTTTTCATCTCAAGTTATTGGAGTAGTTTATGTGTAGAAGAACCATATTAAGCAAACAAACATTGTAGGTACCTTTAGTAAAAAAAAAGTAGAGACTGCAACAAACACTACAAGAAGTAGAATTCGGTTGTGTATGAAGAATATCAGATCATTAAGTTTCATTTTTGTTAGTCTTTCGTAGGTACCTTTAGTAAAAAAAATTGAATAGCGTTCTTGAATCTGCCTATAATTCAAACTATCATCTCCTATCCATTACTCATAAAGAAACTAAAACCACAAAAGCATTGTTGAACTTTCACTACATTATGTCTGAACAAATCATCCATCTCTTGGAAATCTATGGTGCCATAAGGATCACCATTGGTTATACTCGATCGAGGACTAAACTTAGTAACTCTAAACAAAAACCACAAAAGCATTGTTGAACTTTCACTACATTATGTCTGAACAAATCATCCATCTCCTGGAAATCTATGGTGCCATAAGGATCACCACTGGTTATACTCGATCGAGGACTAAACTTTTAACCAGTTTCGTCGCTTCAATTACATGTCCTTTTGAATCACTGACTGTAATATGGATGATAAAATATTGACCTAAATGGTTTCACTAAAGCTCAGCAGAGCAATTTGGCATGTTTATCAAACCGAAGGGAGACTCCCTTCGACAACTGGACTGCATTCAGAAATAGGATCCCCATTTGGTTAAATGACAGAAGAACAACAAATTCACCATTCATTATAAAACACATCCGTAGTTCTTGTAAATTTCGTAGAATTGACAGGGAAAGAGAGTTTACATTAAAGACTATGAGCTGGTCCGAGTCACTGCTCACGAATTCTTTTACAAGTTGACACGCCTTTCGTCCATACATCTCGTTGTTCCAATTGTCCCTCCACCCTTACAAGGTACAACACTGAAACAAACCATATAAGCATTTCATCGAACACCTTAGCTACGTGAACTTAAAATGACAACATTCACCTAAAAAATGCAGTTAAACGATGCAAATTGAACATATAAATATCATTTTTGATAGAAATACCAGCATTCTGAACATTGCAAACTGAATCTGAAGAAAAAATCATACATTACAAAATAAATAATTCAAAACAATACATTATCGATTAGGGTTTCGAAATTTCAGGTCCCAACATGCACGAATACTTGGAATCGCCTGAATGTAATCGAGATGAAGGAAGATGAAGGCGATTCAAGAAAAACCCTAATGAAGAACATTTTGAAGAGGTGAAGGAAGATGCTYTACCATAGCGATGGATCGAATGGAAAAAACCTAACAATATGGGATCGGGAATGATGAGCGTGCTTGAATCGGGAATGATGGAGAGCGTGTTTGGAAGCGTGTCTGGGAATTTAAATCAACATAGCAGTGATAATTTGAAGCTTTGAGTTGTTGGGGGAGGGGAGCCGATAAGGGGAAGAGTGCTCCTGGGAAAGAGTGCTTCTGGGGAAGAGGCATCTTGGGGAAGGGGAGGCGTGTAAAGGAATTTTGGGGGAGGGGAAGAGGCATCTTGGGGAGAGGGAGGCGTGTAAATGAAGTGTGAGGGTATTTTGGGTATTAAAAAAGTTAAGATTTTAAGACTTTGGACAAATTTGTTT